CCGGTCTATGCCTTTACTGACAGTAACTTTGGGAAAGAGAAAGCCGCGGGATTAACCGCATAAAGTAACAGCAGAAAGCGCCGCCCGCTTTTAATGTGCGGACCTCTCTTACCCGCTGACTCCGGAAAGCCGGCCCACTTTACACGCGGTAGGAGAACAGTGAGGGAGAGCCGCAAAATGCGCTCCACTTCTGCTGAGCGAGGGTTTTAGCAGGGCATTTATGATGGGGGTCGCGGCTAAAGACTTTGGAACCCCTGCTTCTACTAAACACGCTGGCATTCTTGTTTTGACTGTGTTTCCGCGGCGGAGGGGGCTGGCTCATAACGCACTACGGTAACCCACAAGACGAAACCAACAAAAACTCAGAAAAAAATGTGGTGAAAAAAAAAACTCGAGTTTGAGCAAAATAAAATTCCATTTAAGCTACAAAATCGATAAATCGATTAAATCGATCTTTTGCCCCCAGCCCTATGTAAGCGTGTTGGAATTTGTGTAAGGTGCTGAATGGGTTTGTAAGGTGTATAGATTTGTGTAAAGTGCCTAAATGTGTTGTAAGGTGTTGAATATGTTGTAAAGTGCTAAATGTGTTGTACGGTGTTGAATTTGTTGTAAAGTGCTAAAAGTGTTGTCAGTTGCTGTAATGTTAGTAAGATGTTGTAATCGTATTGTATCTGTGGTGATGAATTGTTAGTGTGGTAATGTTGTTGTTAAGGGGAGTAATTCTGTTGTACTGGGTGCCAATGTAAGTCTATGGGAAAAAGTGCTTGAACTTTAGTTATATCTAACAAAGTGCTAAAGGTGGAAGTTGAAAAGTAATAGCAATAATGAGACTCGGTGGAAGCCGGTCGTAACGATGTATAAATTTGTTGAAATTTGTGAAAGCTTTGAAGAGTTGAAAAGTGCCAAATCTGTGCGGAAGTGGAAGAAGAACTAGAAATGGTACAATGGCTGAAGCCCATTGTGAGTGGCTGCCATAGATTTGGAAGGGTTAGGGATGAAGAAGGAAGAAGAAGGAAGAAGAAAGAAAAGGGAAGAAGAGGAAAGACGAAGAAAGGAAGAGAGGAGGAACGAAGAAGAAGGGGAAGAAGGAGAAGACGAGGAAGAAGGGGAAGAAGAAGGAAAAGGGAAAAGAGGAAGAAGAGGAAGAAGAGGAAGAGGGAAGAAGAGGAAAAAGGGGAAGAAGGAAGAAGAGCAAGAAATAGGAAAAAGGGGAAGAAGAGGAAGAAGAGGAAGAAGGGAAGAAGAGGAAGAAGGGGAAGAAGAGAAAAAAGGGAAAGAAGAGGAAGAACAGGAAGAAAGAGGAAGAAGGGGAAGAAGAGAAGAAGGGAAGAAAGGGGAAGAAGAGGAAGAAGGGAAGTACAGGAAGATGAGGTAAAGAAGGGAAGAAGAGGAAGAAGAGGAAGAATGGGAAGAAAGAAGAAGGGGAAGAACAGGATGATGAGGAAGAAGAGGAAAAGGGGAAGAAGGGAAAGAAGAGGAAGAAGTAAGAAGAATGTGTACGTAAGGACTGAAAGTGTTGTAAAGTGCTAAATAACGTTGTAAAGTGCCTAATGTGTTGAAAGGTGTTGAATTTGTTTGTAAAGTGCTAAATGGTTTTAAGGTGTTGAATTTGTGTAAAGTGCTAAATGTTGTTGTAAAGTGCTAAATGTGTTGTAAGGATATTGAATTTGTTTTAAAGGTGTTGAATGTGTTGGAAAATGCGAAATGTTGTTGAATTTGTTGTAAAGTGCAAAGGTGTTGTAAGGATTAATGTTGTAAGGTGGTGATTGTGTTGTAAAGTGCTAAAGGTGTTGTAAGGTGCTGTAAATGTTTGTAAGATTAGATGTAATGTATTGTATATGTGGTAATGAATTGTTATGTGGTAATGTGTTGTATGGGAGTAAACTGTTGTACTGGCCAATGTAAGTCCTAGGGAAAAAGTGCTTAACTTTTGTAATCATCTAAAAAGTGCTAAAGGTGGAAGTGTGAAAAGTAATAGCAAAATGAGACGGTGAAGCCGTCGTAACGATGTATAATTTGTTGAATTTGGTGAAAGCGATGAAGAGTTGAAAAGTGCCAAATCTGGCGAAGTTGAAAAGAATAAACAGTAGGCAAAGCATATAGTGGCTGCATAGTCTATGCAGCCACTCAATAACAGAGGAGAAAGCATATAGTGGCTGCATAGTCCCTAATGCAAGCCACTTCAACTATAAATGGTACAAATGGCAGAAGCCATTGTGAGTGGCTGAAATAGAAGTTTGGAAGGTTTAGGGAATGAAGAAAGGAAGAGGAAGGGATGAAGAAGGAAGAAGAAAGAAAAGGTAAGAAGAGGAAAGAGAAGGAAGAGGAGGAGGAGAAGAAGAAAGGGAAGAAGGGGAAGAAGAAGAGGAAAAGGGGAAAAGATGAAGAGATGTGGTATGGGAAGAAAGGGGAAGAAGAGGAAGAAGAGAAGAAGAGGAAGAAGAGAAAGAAGAGAAGAAGAGAAAGAAGAGAAAGAAAGAGAACGGAGGAGGAGGAAAAGAGAGAAGGAGAAAGAAGGGGAAGAAGCAGGAAGAAGAGGGAAGAAAGGAAGAAGGGGAAGAAGGGGAAGAAGAGGGAAGAAGAGGAAGAAGAGGAAAGAAGAAGAAGAAGGGGAAGAAGAGGTAGTAAAAGGTTTTGTAAGGTGTTGATTTGGATTGTAAGGTGTTGAATTTGTTTGGTAAATCAAATGTGTTGTAAAGTGCTGAATGTGTTGTAAAGTGCTGATTGTGTTGTAAAGTGCGAAATGTGTTGTAAAAGTGATGAATGTGTTAAAGTGCTTAATGTGTTGTAAAGTGCTAAATGTGTTGTCTAGTGCTAAATGTGTTGTAAGGTGTTGAATGTGTTGTAAAGTGCTAAATGTGTTGTAAGGTTAGGGCTGGGCGATTTTGCCTAAAAAAAAAATCTCCGATTTTTAAAAGAAAAATTCAAGTTACGATCGATTTTCGATTTTTTTTTCCCAAGCACTAAAAAAGAACTGAGCCATCAGATATATTGCATAAGAGCAAGATTTATTGCTGTGATTTGTCCTCAGAGTTAAAATGCAAGTAAATGAGGCTCTGTTATTCAACAATTTCAAGCTTAACCAAGTTAAACCCAGTTAAGGGAAAAGTGCAACATCACTTCACAGAAGCATAAATTTTCTGATTAGAAATCAATAACTAACATATTTTGTGTAACTTATAACATTACGAATAAACAATAAAATAAACACTGCTCTTAGCACTCTCAGCATAATTGTATATAAAAAAAATTAAACATGCCTGTGGGAAGACATATAGCTACTAACTAACTACTTATCAAAGGTTAAAACAAATGTAAACTTTAATCTTTAAAACAAAACCATTAATCTCTGAAATATTGTGCATGCTCATTCTAAGCATTTTTTTTGCAGAGAATAGAGCCTGTTCCACAACCACCGGTCCGTGTGGCTGAGTACCAACGTCATCTCCCCCAGCTCCCCGCGGAACTTTTCACGAGTGATTGTACAGGTGGGCAGCGCAACACGGCGAAATACTTTGTCGACTCGGGACAACGTACTGTACCGGTCGCATCTAAGACTTTTTAACAAGCCCCCCCTGTTAAACCGCCCCCTGGGGGTCGCGGGAACCCCTGGGGGGGTCGCATGATGATTTCTACACAAACAAAAAAAAAAGATTTTTTTTTTTTTTTGAGCAAATATAAAGCCCTTAAATATTTATTTAGCATTTGATTTGATTCAAAGGACCTACATGTTACATTGTGTTTGGAGACTATAATATATTTTACTGAACGTTATTAATTTTGTTCCCAGTCATTGCAGCGTCAATCAAAATCATCACGTTAACACAGCTCACATCATGCGCACTCGACAAAGCGTGTCCTACAGTAGTTTGCTAAAACTAAAAGGTGTTTGGAGGCTACAAATAAATAATACCTGCTTTAAAATGAAACGTGGTTAATACCACAACCAGAAAACCCCGAGGGGGAGAAAAGTCACTTGTATCAGGGGTCAGGCTGGATGGTGCCCTCAAGCTCTAGTTAGAGAGCGATCTGTCTCCTTCAATCTCGAGAGGCACCAAAACGCTCGGGTCCACTTCTATGACGATTTACACATTGATGACGCGCATAAGACCGCCTCCAGGAGGGGCCAGCAATGATTGGCAGAGGGGAGAATAAAAACAAACGACGCCCACAAACGTGCGTGGATCTGTACATGCAGCTACTCTACCGCAGTCTGTACTTCGCTTCACATCGATCTCTGTAGTTACTGCTGCTGTCGTTCACTAAAAGTGTCAGCATCATGTCAACTTGGAGAAAATGTTTGTTTGGGTGTAACTACGTGACGAGACTCTTTGGCTTGCCCAAAGATGAAGCGATTCGGCGAAAGTGGCTTGACTTCATTCACGGGTTTCTGCCTCCGAAACCGTCAAAGAATCTGTTCGTCTGCGAGCGACACTTTGCTAAAGACTGCTTCCAGAACTACGGTTACCATGAAACTGGACTCACTAAAAAGCTGATCTTGAAACATGGTGTAGTTCCCACAATAAAAGACGCTAACGGGGAGCCAAGATCGGTAAGTACAATGCTAACTCAACATACATGACTGCCAAGTAATAGTACTTGTAGTAATCATGTCCACTATGTCGCCAATATCATGCATAATACTAGAACAGTAGCTGATTGATTTATTACGAACAGATCGTAATAATGTGCAGTAGTGTTACTATAGAGAAGCTAGATACAGGTAACAATAATGGCGATAACACTTTCATTGTCCTGGACTGAGGCCCAGGCATTTTACTCATAGATTGTTTGTTGCTGTGACCCATGTAGATTACAAACCAGTAAAGCCCGGCCTTTTCAGTTGGAAATTAGCCAGAACTTGTACATATTACGCATTAAATTGTTAATTTGTAGTGTTATCGTATAGCCATATTTATTTCATCTTGATCTTGAAGCATTTAGAATGCAAATGGGTTCGTTATAACACAAACGATTATGCTGTTGACTCAAGAAAAACAATGACAGTAAGTTAGAGTAACGCTGCCCTAGATCATAGACTATACAACAAACCCCCCACGTTTGACATCAGTCGACACATCACTTGTATACGCTACTCATGTTTACGCCACACCAAGCTATTATATTTAGTTCAACCTTTACATATAATATTTGAACACTTAGTGATGAAAACACGTTTGTAGATTTATTGATAATAACTGATGTTCTTTATTCCATGATAGAGTACTTCTGAGGAGGCACCCAGCCACAGTCGTGCTGGAGCAACTGCTGGAAAACTGAGGACCAGAACTGTCTCCACACAGATATCTGCCAGAACCCTAAAGCTACAACACGTCAGAAGTAAAGGTAGGCTATTGCTTTTGCACATTGTGAATAAACACCACATACACCAAAGACATGGTACCATAATAACACGCACTAATGCTGACAGATGCACGTAATTACCAGCATTCAGTGTCTGTCTTTCCAGTTATATATATGAAAAGTTGCAACATAAGATGATAATAGTGTGAAGTTTATCTGAATGTTTTAAAAGTCCTGAATCCAAACTGGGGGTCTGTGTTGTTATATTATTATGTGTGGTACAATTCTGTTCTGTAGTAGTGTGAATGTTGCTAATTCTATGTATGCATTTCAATAGGTACTCTTGCAAAACCCAACACCAAAGATGCATCTACAGAGACAGATCAGTCTTGGATGGTGCTGTCCTCCACACCAATAAGATCATCTACCTCTGGGCTCGGTATTGGGTCAAGGAAGAGACGTCGTACAGACATTTTTGAGGAAGACGAGGAGGATCCTGACATCTCAGATATTTCCCCCACCACAACCACACGACTCTACTTATGAGCTTGGGGCCACTCTCACTGATGTTTCTGGAATGATGTAAGTATGTAGTATGTATACACTGTAGGTAGCAATTATCTACAATATCAATAATGTCTGTATTTGTCATATTTTGTCCAAAAACAGGGAAACAGAATGTCCCTCTGCTTATGAAGAACCGAAATACATAGTGTTTGACAGCAATTTGAAGTCCCTATTTGAAACATGCCCAGTTTGCACACGTAACTGTAAAATGCAGAGAAGCATTTTTGGGACATTTGTTTCATTTACACAAGATTGCCCACACTGCTTGTATCATCGGAAGTGGGACAGTCAGCCGATACAGGGGAGCACACCAGTTGGCAATCTACAGCTTTCTGCAGCAGTGTATTTTTCCGGCGGATCCTTTGTAAAGCTGGAAAAGGTAACAACGGCACAACACAACATTGAGTTCATTTTGACCATTGTGTTTATCATACATCATGTGTTCTTCAGATATGTAAAGCTATGCACCTTCAGATCCATCAGTACAATTCATTTAGGAGACATTCACGGCAGTTTCTTGAACCAGCAATAAACCACAAGTGGAGGAAAGATCAGGAGAGGTTTTTGGTTGATCTGAAGAAGAAGGGCAAAATAGCTGTGGGAGGTGATATGAGAGCAGATTCACCAGGTAGGGAAGGTAATGTCAGCATATTATATCACATGGCATGTAACGTTTTTTCAATGTTTTTATTTAGGACACAGTGCTAAGTATGGCAGCTACACGCTGATGGAACTTGAGAGTGAGAAGGTGCTTGACATACAACTAGTACAGGTATGTCTAATATTAATGATGATTACACAATTTATTGTTTCATTACAAGTGACAGTGTGAATCAACGTTTGTGTTTCCTTAGAGCAATGAGGTAGGAGGAAGTTTTTATATGGAAAAAGAAGGACTGCGCCGGTGCTTAGATTTCCTGCAAGAGAATAGTCTTGAAGTGGACTATATTGTCACAGACCGTCACACACAAGTGAAAACCTTTCTACGGAGCCGAGATGTAACCCAGTACTATGATGTCTGGCATCTGGAGAAAGGTTTGGAATGAATCTTTGTGTGAAAACAGAAACGTGTAGGTTTGTTATCTTATATGAATGCATATATGTGTTATATTGTAGGTGTATCCAAAAAGTTGGATAAGTTGTCCAAAGAGAAAGAGTGCCAGGTGGTGAGAAAATGGACAGCAGCCATAAAAAACCACATATACTGGGTTGCATCATCTTCCAAGACAGGATCAGAGAAAGTGGCAAAATGGACATCCCTTGTAAACCATATTCAAAATGTACACGATCATGATGACCCTGTGTTTCCCAAATGTGCACATCCAGTGAAAGAGTCCAAAGATCCAAGCAAATGGTTTCTGCCAGGTTTGGAAAAGCATAATCGAACTCTGACGCCAGAGTTGTGTGTTCATGTTTACCAATACATTGCTTATTTACTCAGGTTCTGCCCCATTGTACAAAATAGAAAAGCTACTTGTGAACAAGAGACTGCTGGAAGATGTAAAGAAACTCAGCTCTGAGCACCAGACATCGTCACTGGAGGCGTTTCATAGCGTTATTCTCCGCTTTGCCCCCAAAAATGTTGTGTACCCTTTTTCGGAATGATGTGCAGGTAATATAACTGAATAGTTTTTGTAACAATCATGAGTATTACAAATCCTTTCTACATTGACACTCTTTTTTTGCAGGTTGTTTTTGGCAGGAATGCACTTCAATGAAAACGTGAAGCGTGAGCAAGCAGCAACTTCAAAAGGGCAGCCTTTATTCAAAGTTTCCTACCCTAAATACAAAAAAGGAAAGCCTACAGCAAAGCCTGTCAAAACAAAGCCGACATTTGGTAATCAAAAACACTGTACAAACATTTTACATTGTCAGTGTACATTTATATTTATATATATCTCCAAATGAAAAAAAATATATAACTAGTCACACTTTTGCAGGATATGTCTCTGAGCTGATGCACCTCGTCTTCACTGAGGTCTTCTCCGAGCCAGCTCCTTTTATTGAACAGTTGAAGACTGTCCCTTTGCCTGCAGACCTCAGCTCTCAGTTTGGGAGAGTTCCCAAGGGAGATGTGGTTGCTGCACATGTTGCCAGGTTCAGTCGAGGGGCAGCCGAGGCTGACCAGAGGGTAGAAAGCCAACGTACTGGCCGTCAGGATCTGGGAACTCCTGGCGTATCCTGAGCACTGCACATGCAGGGATGACCACCCTGATTCTGGCTCCCAGCAGTCCCCAGCACCAGCTCACGATGCTTCTGTACGCCACAAATCTGAGACGCCTACCGAGAGTGCACATATGTAAATTAGTGAAATTTACTGTTCTATGTACTGTAATTTGCTGTCCTATTTATGTTGTGATGATTGTACTCCTGAACCCTGCCTCCTCCATCTGCACCTGTGGACTGTCCTCCCCAGCCGGACTCGTGAGCTGCACCCCCTCCCTGCCATGAAGCTGCCTCAGTCCTTGTTCTGCAATGTGTCTGTCGTTCTTTAGCCTGAGTCCTAGATCTATTGCCCGGTGGGGAGTGGATCCCTCTCTCAATGTAGATCTCCCTGAAGTTTCTCACTTGCAGGACAGTCTGTTTGACAGTTGGTGTCTAACCAGAAGGACTGTGGTGATGATCTAGGACACTCAACATTGTAGGATATTTATGATCATCTGGCCCTTATGGATCAATGACTCTTTGTTTGTATCATTGCATTTCTGTTGTTAGAGCCGTTTTATTCTCTGCTGTGTTGAGAAATAGTGATGTAAAACTATACAGGTATAAATTCCATAGAATTTGGAAAAGTACATAATAAATTATTGCAAATAAAATATTTAAATGAAAGTGTACTTACTCTTCTTGTGTTCTCCTTCGAACTGGCCCATAGTCTGCACGATAAATATTATTTATGGTTTGCAGAACAAAAATATGTATATTCATTGCAAAGCCAGGGTGGTCTATAATGCAGGCAGGTGGATCAGGCAGCTGATTTATCCGTCTCAGAACCTACATATGAAAAGAAAAAGTGTGAGAAAGCCATGTCATGGAATAATGATTATTGTAGTGCATCAATTTATTTTAATATAGAATTGTTCCCCAATTACTATAAATGCGTACAGTAGGTGACACATCTTTGAGCTTGTTTAGACCGTTGTATTGTTACTGTTTACAAAATGCATCGTTGATATTCTACGCCTTTATGATTATTACAATTACCTGTGGAATTTCTTGACAGCATACATTTTCTCTTTCTGTAGGCATTGTCCTACAGTTCCCGCATGTACACCTAAGAAAAAATCATATCAAAGCTTCTGCTGTAATAAAATGATTGATAGCGTTAGCTCATATTTTACCAAGCCGAGACGTCCTGGTGGTTCCTTCGGGGCTGTTGCACTTCATGTACCTCGAACTCTGGGTCCGACTCTGGATCGAGGACATATGGCTCTATGTGACGGATTGCCATCGTTGTAAAAAGTTTGTTATCGAGTCTGCAGGTGCGCTTTACCGGCGAACGCTCGTGTTTACAAACTCAGCGTGGCTTAGCGTGGCTCAGCCTACTTCAGCGAGTGGGCGAGATGGGGGACGGCTGTGGTCTGGGCTACGTCACCGTGCGAGAGGGGGGAGGCGGGCTCACAGGCAGAGGAGCAAAAATCAGCTCGTTTCATTTGAGGTGACGTAGCCTCCTTGTAAGAAATGGCTATAACTAGACAAGTGTTGAGTGATGTATGGTGTGTCAACAAAATTATGAACACACATGTACATAGGATGGACTGTGAAGCACAATTAGAAGCGCGATATAGGACCTTTAACAATCCTAAGAGCTTTGTTTAAAAGTCTGGAATCATAAAGAACCTCCAGAACAGGAAGCTCACAGCCAACGGTCCTCTTTGCAGAGCGGAGCACCTTGTTTAAAGCTCTTTTCTTTATCTGTGATGTTTCCAAACCACACAGACACAGAACCAACAAGTAAACTCTCAATGGTGCAGCGATAAAAGTTAAGCAGAATCTTAGAGTTAGTGGTAAATTCTCTAAGTTTACGCAGAAAGTAGAGATGCTGACGAGCTTTAACAACTCGGTCAGTGTTTTTAACCCATTTCAGGTCGTTAGAGTTAAACCCAGAAACTTGCACTCCTCTACGATCTGCACCTGGGAGTTGTCAATTATGACAGGCATCACTAGTGTTGTAAAACTTTTTCACGGCCAATGCATTGATCTATTATTATATCAATGGAGGACGACGGAAAAGGCACTTGCAAAGACTGGAAAGTTAATAAGAAGCGTCTAAAGTGTGGGAGTGCTTCACTCTGAACACTAAACAGGAGTAGTTAGCACAAAGTGCTAAGTGGAGCTAGCGTCTCATGATAACATCACGTAGATGCTGCCGCAGCTGACGAGGGGCATTGAGGGAAGACCCGAGACGAGGTATGTCAACTTTCATGTAATGGTGTAAAGCATAGGTGTCAAAGTCAAGGCCCGGGGGCCAGATCCGGCCCGCGAGACCATTTCCAGTGGCCCTTGAGATGATTTTAAATTATTATCTTAAATAGCAGCATAAATGATTATAGGCGACAATGGCATGTTATCCATTATGAAGAAAACAACCATAACATTTAATTCCTTAAGAAATAAAGGATTTCCCAATTTTCTTTGGAAAGAACCACTTCCACTTTTTGAACAAAACTGTCGACACTTTTGACGAGCACAAATCATCAGAATTGACAATTGAGAGGAGCAATAGTCTTGATGATCCACCCAAAAGTAGAAAATCTTCCTGTATACCTTCAATATTTGGCCCAGTTTTGGTTCAGTCCACAGCAACTGAACTTATTCTAATCAGAAAAGAATATCCAACAATGTGAAACAAGTCATTTATTTACCTTCATATTCCCAAATTTTTTTATAAATGAAACCCACTTATTTTTTCGGCCCCTGACCAGCCCTTTTTTTTCTTCGGCCCTCAACCAAAATAAGTTTGACACCCCTGGTGTAAAGGGAACATTGTGAAAGTAAAATGTTGATAATTATAATAACACGGAGGGGTTTTCCCGCAAACAGTCACACGCTGCCAATGCGGCATGGTTAAAAACTGTCAATGTATCCGCCTTTCATTTGTTAGCGCAGTGATGAAGCAGAAATGTTTATCAGTTCCTAATACATGTCTTTTACATGATGAGACGTGTATTATGAATGTTTTACTTAATTTGACATTCACTACAATCCTAGTGCCAACAGGTATTATACTACTCCACAACAGTCATTTGAACTCATATGTCTGTATGAACACCTACATAATAGGTCTGTATGAACAATATATAATTAATATATACAGTCTATGGTATGAACACTGTGGACCAAGATCCATCAGCAGTTACAGAGCTGTAGGAATGAGGAGCACACAGCACAAGAGATGTGAACAATAACAATACACTAAAATTAAATAAAAGCTCAAACTTTTAATAGAAAAACAAGTAACAAAATGCTGTAGTGTAGTATTGTATAGTGCAGAAATATACTGCAGAGATGCACGACATGTGAGCTCAGCAGTGTTTGTTATAGGACTTATTGAATCTGGAAGTGGTGTGCGATTGACATTTAACGTCTGCTTTTCCCTGTCTTTCAGTAAACCATCACAGCCTGTTTAGGACCAGACATGTGCCTCATCTGATTCTGTTCGATCTGGAAGGACTCCAGATGCAATCGGCGCTGCCTTGTCTTTATGGATTCAATAAACTGTATACAATATAAAACAGTTGTCATTATTAAATGGTTTTCATTTGATAGTGTATTTTTAATTTGGCAAAAAAGAAATTACTCGATTAATCGATCGATGTATTCGAAAGAATAATTGATTACCAAAATATTCGATAGCTGCAGCTCTACTACAACCTCTCCCACTCCCTGACTCCTGTTGCCAGATATTCAGACAAATACAGCTGGAACATAATATCTGAATAGAAAAGAGTTCAACAACAAATCTATAACCAACAAAGGCCCAGATAGATATCCACATTTTATTCCTTGTTTTGTCATTGATGAATCATAACGGGACCTGGGCGGCACGGTGGCTGAGTGGATAGCACTCTGGCCTCTCAGCAAGAAGGTCCTGGGTTCGAATCCCGGTCGGACCAGGGCCTATCTGAGTGGAGTTTGCATGTTCTCCCCGTGTCTGCGTAGGTTTCCTCCGGGTACTCCGGTTTCCCCTACCACTAAAAATATGTCCAATAGTTCTAGCATGTGCCTCCTATACTGGCCCAGCTCCCATCTCTGTGTGGAGTGAGAGACAAATGCCCAAAATTAACAATTGTAAACCGCTTTGAGACTCAGATCTGCAGTGAAAAGGCGGTATATAAATAAAAACTTACTAACTTACTTACTGTTTCAGTACCACATGTTACTTTACCTGTGAGATTAGCTCGACGCAATGAGTTTGGGTAACCCGGATCACATATTTTCTGGTAGGTAAAACGGTGGAGGGCGGGACATAAAAAATAAAACAATGACAAAATTTAGGGGCTGATGTTTTATCTACTGACTGGGTGGTGTTTTCAACATTGAGAGCATAGGTATAGTATAAGAATTAGAGATGCACCAATCCAGCTTTTTTTACTACCGATACCAATAACCAGAGCTATGGGTTTCTGCCGATACCGATATTGACCGATACCGGAAATGATCATGCTAAAATGTATTTAATAATTGAACTCTTCAAGTAACTGCAAAAGCAGTGGATGAACTGAAGCGCTAAACTTTCCAGATAAAAATGGATTCAACATAAATGTGCAATAATGCAACTATAAAGAGCTGCTCAATGTTCACATTAAACATTCAAACACTGTACTATACCTTATACATTTATTGAATATAAATGTACTTATATTAACTGTTTGAATAAAAAAACACTTACAACAAATAAAACACGCTGCATGAAAATGTAAATAAATAATAGTACCGTAGCTTTAACTGGATTTCAGATATGTATTTGGCGACGGCATGTACCTGGGTTCCAAATGGTCTATGGGGCTGCGAGCACAAACTGATGAACTCCAACACTTTCGGGTTGTTGCTGAAAAGCTTTTTGTGACGCTGCGTCAGTGTCATCTGTGTCTCGTTGTTTTCACGTAATCTCCTTTCGATGCAAAAACCTTTTCCCCATGCCGTTTCTCGTGGTGCTTCGTCGTGTTGTATTTCGCTAGTTTACCGCCGCGTGAACAACGCTGATTCTTTCCTGCGCTCCATGCTGTGTTGTTGTTGTAGAGCACCACGAGGAAGTGACGTGTACGTGAGATCTGATAAATTACTTTTAATTAATTCATTTTATACGTACATGCACATTATGCACAATGTATTTTAAGACATTGTGCGGTACCTGGTATGTATTGGATCTGATGTAGATTGATTATTAATAATCATATTTGTAGAACGACGATCAGATTTACCAAGTAAAGTGTTGAGTTGTTTCCAGAATTGCCTAGGATTTTTAAAGTTGTCATACAGTTTTTGTAGTAGTTAGATTTGGCCTTTCTGGTTTGTGTAGTACAGTTGTTTCTAAGCAGCTTGTAAGCATTCCATTCATCCGAATCATGTGTGACGCGAAACTTCTTCCATGCTTGGTCTCTTTGTTTAAAAAGATGCAGCAATTCACCACTCACCCAAGGAAGATGATGCCCTTTTACTTTGATCACTTTAAGAGGAGCATGAGTATCAATTACAAAATGAAGATCATCATAGAAAACATTCCAAGCCTCGTTAATAAAAGGTATTAATTTAAGTCTACTCCAGTTAATAGCAAGCAAATCATCTATAAAACGATCACAACTAAATCTAGTTTGATGAACTGTAATGAATTTAGGTTGCAGTCAAGGCATTTTTATTTTCCAGCGGCAAA